TCAGCAGCTTGCGGTCTTTGTGACCCACTAATGATGTTCTTGGACTATCCTCTATATCATATCTTAAAGATCGAGAGCAGGCTGATGCTGTCACTTGCGTTATGATTATAGTGACCTTCTCCTTCTACAGCCCCTTATCGAATCTTATCAACTGATATAACTTCCTGTCACCTACCAATAGTGTTCCCGTCACACCCCGTACATCACTTCTTGAAATCAATGTCTCACTGCTACTGGGACAGGCGCTATGAATTTCGTGACACACAGACAGACGCACACACACACACACAGACATACATAGCGGATTATATATAGTAGGATCCTACTACAAGGATCCTGTCTGTGTTGTGTGGTGACAAGTTGTGAGCTGCTGATAAGATTCGATAAGGGACGTTAGAATAGTGAGGTCATCGTATTCATAGCGCAGGTCACAGTATCAGCGAGGCGTGCGTTTCAGCAAGTGATATAGAGAGTGAGTTGGGAACATCAACCGTGGGTGACTAGAAGCGATAACTACTGATAGGGGCTGATAATGGAGGTTGCAGTCGTCGTCGCTGTTCAAGGCGGTTCACGCTCTCAAATCATAGAGAGATTTAGTGATGAGGACATTGATGACGGGTGACAGGTAATCTTATCAATCGATAAAAATTGATACGATACCATCTGCGCTAACCTCTCACCGCTTTAATGCCGAGTATTCGAGGCTCAGATTGTGAAACTTTCCTTTGGCCAACACTTTCCTGATAACACTAGAAAATGAACTCATCATCCCACTATCCTACTCTATATAATCCGCTAAGTATGTCTGTCCGTGTGTGTGTATGTTTGTGTGTGCGTCTGTCTGTGTGTCACGAAATTCATAGCGCCGGTCCCAGTAGCAGTGAGACATTGATTTCAAGAAGTGATGTAGGCGGTGTGACGGGAACACTATTGGTGGGTGACAGGAAGTGATATCAGTTGATAAGATTCGATAAGGGGCTGTAGAAGGAGAAGGTCACTATAATCATAACGCAAGTGACAGCATCAGCCTGCTCTCGATTTTAAGATATGATATAGAGGATAGTCCAAGAACATCATTAGTGGGTCACAAAAACTGTAAGCTGCTGATAAGATTCGATAAGGGGCGTTAGAAGGAAAAGGTTACCATATTCACAGCGCAGGTCACAGCAGCAGTCAGCTCTTGATTTCGAGATATGATATAGGATGAGGGCCAAAAACATTATTGGTGGGTAATAAGAACTGTGAGCTGCTGATAAGATTCGATAAGGGACGTTAGAATAGTGAGGTCATCGTATTCATAGCGCAGGTCACAGTATCAGCGAGGCGTGCGTTTCAGCAAGTGATATAGAGAGTGAGTTGGGAACATCAACCGTGGGTGACTAGAAGCGATAACTACTGATAGGGGCTGATAATGGAGGTTGCAGTCGTCGTCGCTGTTCAAGGTGGTTCACGCTACCAAATCATAGAGATTTAGTGATGAGGACATTGATGACGGGTGACAGGTAATCTTATCAATCGATAAAAATTGATACGATACCATCTGCGCTAACCTCTCACCGCTTTAATGCCGAGTATTCGAGGCTCTATGAGCAACGCAGTGATTGAAAGAGTTCCGTTCCCCATTATGGAGCGCGCCTGGCGAAGCCAGGCCAGCTCGGCGAAGCCGAGCCAGAGAAGGAGGAGAGCTCGGCGTCAGCCGGGCGATCCGACTGGTGTATACTAAAAGTGTTCAATTATAATCTTAATTTGTAACCTTTTTTCTATTCTCAGGATGTCGCGAATATTCGCGACCATTTTCGCCATTGCTTGATTTTAGGCTATGTAAAAACTTGCTTGTTTCGAACACGTGCCATGACACCTGTCGCTTAGTATATAAATGACTCGCACTTTTGTGGTGATAGGCTGCAGATAAACTTTGCCACTGAACCGTCGTAACAGTTTTGGTGCATCGGCCAAATACTGTTACATTCACGAGAGAAATCTGGTCTCTAGACCAGTAAATCAGAACTTCTGATTTCAAAGCGGCCCGCTGAGGCCCCCATCGAGTCGAAACGATGGAAGCCATCATATATGGCAAGCCTATATTGAAAAGCGTCGAAACGCTAAAGTCGCTGATCGCAAATTTCAAAGAATACGCGCAGCCTCAGAAATACTCGTCAGACGACTACACCCAATATGAAGAGTCACTAAACGCGGTCGATCTGATCGGAGGTAGCATACAGCAAATTGAGTGCGCAAGAGATAAGTTGCAGTCGCTCATATATAAAATGAAGGCTGACTATGACATTACGAAAAACAAAGACGATAGGAAAATGATCCTTCAAGAGCTTGAGAAACTTGAAAACGAACAGAAGCTCACAGACGTGATAAGCGAAGCAACGGAGCTTTCGTATATGCTGAGAACACGACTCACAGAAGCTTCCAGCAACGAAAACAGACTTGCTCGCAAACTGGGAAAGTATCCTAGGGCACAAAGCGCACACACGGATCCTAAATTGGAAAATGCCAATACGCAGGAAAGCAATATGTCGGATGGCCAAGCGCATAGACCAGAAGAAGTCTCGCCAATACCACCACCAAAAATAAATCTTCCAAAGTTCTACGGCAACGAAGAAGAATTTCCCGAATTTTGGGCAGCATACCAAACCCTCGTTCATGATAACCCTTCGCTGTCAGTCATCGCAAAAATGTTGCTTCTGAAAGACAGTTTACGCGGACGATCAGACAAAGCGATCAAGGGTATCCAACTTCTGCCCCAAAATTACGACTGGATGATACAAGCATTAAAAAAGGAAATATGGGAACAAGCCCGCCAATAGGTCCCGCATTGTCCAGCAAGTTCGCGCTCTCCGACAAGCGGACCAAAGTGCACAAAGCAACGAGTTTGTTTACGACAGGATATCCATGTTACTTAATCAGATGGTATCCGCAGGACAAGACATCCGCACCACAACGGATGCAATGTGGATCGAATTGATTCTGAGTAAGTTCCATCAAAATATCGTTGAGCCCGTGCTTGTCAAAATGAGAGAGAATGAAGATGCTTCAGTAGAAAGCATCATGCAAATGATTGAAACAAAGATAAGAGCTAAGTAGTATAATTCAGTCCCGAATGCAGCCTATTATACACAAAAGGAAGGAACAACAGAACACAAATGCCAAAGAAAAACGATGCGTGATCTGTGAAAAGAGCGGTCACTTCCCTTGGCAGTGCAGATCCCCAATTACTGTAGCAGAAAGACGAAAAATTGCAGTTGAAAAACGCCTGTGCTGGAAGTGCTACTCGAGTGAGCATTCCAGCAGAGAATGCACGAGGGAGAACTGTATGCTATGCGGCAAACTCCACCACATCAGACTGTGCTTTTCAACAGAAAATGCAGGTGATGCAAACTCCAATATTCGTCAAACTCGTATCAATCTGAACAGAAGTCCGAAGCGCGACCAGTTGCTCAAGGAAGAGAAGCAGCAGCCGCAGACTAAAACTCCTATCAGAAATGGAAACGCTAATGAAACTCGGAGGCCAAAACTGCCACAGCCAAGAAGTAACAACACCAATCTTCATATCAATACTGACTTAGAGATACAAGACAAATTGGATGAGTTCTCATCAGAACATCAGCCAGCAAAAAGCTTGGCGACTGAAAACACGGAGAATCATGCCGCTATTGAAAAAGCTCCTAGCAATCGAAGCCAAGAGCAAATTGTTCTTATGACCGCAGAAGGTCGAATCTGGAACTACAATTCTCAGAGCTTTGAGAAAGCCATTTTCTTTTTCGATACAGGCGCACAAAAGACGATAATCGAAGAAGAATATGCCATGAACCTCGGACTCCCCAACATGAGAACGGAAACCTGTATAATGTCAGGAATCGGAGGCAGCACAGAGATATTCGAAAGTAACATCGTGAATGTTAGAATAGGCACTGCGTATGGTAAGGACATGGAAATCTTGATACAAACCAAGCCAGTCTTGACAAAGGGATTCCCAGGTGTCCGGCTCTGCGCAGTCGATAAGCAGTTCCTCGAGGACAGAAACATTCTTGTATGTAACCCGACTTTACGAGGTGAACATCAACTCCCGAGAATTCTAGTTGGACTGGATTATTACTACAATTTCATGCTAGACAGTAACAATATTATAACACCATCGGGCTTGCGTTTGGCCAAAGGCCGCGTTCATACCGTGCGACGTCTTTTGCGTAAGTTGCGTAAGTTGCGTAAGCTGCGTAAGTTGCGACTGAAGAACACATACGTATCGATCCAAAGAAAGCTGCGTAAGTTGCGTAAGTTCGTAAGCTGCGTAAGTTGCGTAAGTTGCGTAAGCTGCGTAATTTGCGTAAGCTGCGTAAGTTGCGTAACCGACGACAACTTCGAGAAGAATAGATACGTATCGATCGGTTAGCTGTCGTCGGTTACGCAACTTACGCAGCTTACGCAACTTACGCAGCTTACGCAACTTACGCAACTTACGCAGCTTTCGTTGGATCGATACGTATGTATTATTCACGAACCAGTCGCAGCTTACGCAACTTACGCAGCTTACGCAGCTTTCGTCGACGTTGACGTCGACGTCGCACGGTATGAACGCGGCCTTAGGACCTATCAGAGGATGCTATAACTGCTTAGAAGGAGCCACATTGAACGTTTCATGCTTGACAGAAAACCGGCATGGATAGTCATTCTCTGCGACGAACACAGCTTTTCGGTCGAATGTGATTCATCTAATCGACCGAAGCAAGTCATTCTCGACTTCCAAAAAGCAATCGTGGATGAAGAATGTCGAGTAGAATGCAATGAGCAAGCAACAAAGTTAAAGGTGCATGGTACCCTAGCTTATATGCCCCATGTTCATGATTCTGAAATCCTGGACTCCCATGAAAAGTCCTGGACAGAACCTACGAGCTGGTTCCATGACTTCAACATCCCCGATCTAAGACCCCTTCTACGGGCTGCAGCTGATCACTGGAAGGCTGCACTCCTCATATTCACAGCCACTGCGATCATTGGCATAGCAACATACTTCTTAGGACCGACTCTTATCCTTTACCTGATTCAAATACTGTTCACATCCGCTGAACTATTCGCCCAGTTAGTACTTTCACTTCTTCACGCAGCGTGTGAGCTCATCAAAAAGATATGCCAAAAATAGAACGCCTCTCCTTTCCAACTACCATTTCACTCGTCTCCCTTCCCTCTAGAAATTCCTTCGCAGAGACAGCTGTAGAGTAGCAGCAAAAAATAGTCGCAACACTACAGACATGGCTTCATACCATCAAACCACTCATTCGCCTCTTCGTTCCCATGGACGTCGTTGACTTCGCAATCCACATCGAGCCCATTGCTGACGATGTCAAAGAACTGAAGAATCAGCTGACTTTGTTCATCAACTCATTCGACGCGAAGATGGAGCCCATCATCAACATGCTTAACCATCAAGCCGATACTCCGAATCACAAAATCGATCTGATCCTCAAAAGAACTGAACCCAAATCCAACTGTGTATTCTGTTCCATCGAGGACAACAATGACTCGCACCCTACCGGTCGTTGCTACCGTTTCCGGGACGCAGTCTCTCGTGCAGTTCAAGCAGCTAACCTCCGTTCTGTGCAACAAATGTCTCCAGCCAAGACACGCTGATGATTGTGGCATCGACTGTTCCTATTGTGGTCGTGACCACAACGTTCTGCTGTGCCCCACAAATATTCAAGCGCATCGACTTCTTTCAAAAGAAGAAAGATGTGAAAAGATTCACTGAAAAGAGGTTGCACGGTCGTGAAAACGAACGTCGCAATCCCTCCCCTCCCTTTCTACCCCGCTTTCCCTTCGTCTTTATTCATCCTGTATCACCTATGGTCCGTCCAGCTGTTCCACCGACTCACTGCTATTCGCTACCCTGCTGTCATCATCGCTCGGCTAGTACACTACGATATTCTCTGACAGTTGCTATTCATATGGCATATCTTGTTGCCATCGCTTCGTTCGGTTCGTATACATGGTATTCGCCATCTGTCTTCACTGCTTCGAAATCGATCAATCGTTGGTACATGGTCGGCCGAGTGCGATGAGTGAGGAAGACTAACAAAGCCATCAAGAAGAATCAGCGGACAAGCGAAGGTCCCGATACAGTAATTTCATGTCATTTAGCAAATTGCATTTGTTTCATTTTGATAGTTTCCTTTTGCTTGCTTTCATTTCTTTACTTATAGTAGATTACTCATGCAGTGAAATTTCCCATTCATATTCATTGTTGTCGCGCCGGAGTGTCGCGAATATTCGCGACCATTTTCGCCATTGCTTGATCTTAGGCTATGTAAGAACTTGCTTGTTTCGAACACGTGCCATGACACCTGTCGCTTAGTATATAAGTGACTCGCACTTTTGTGGTGATAGGCTGCAGATAAACTTTGCCACTGAACCGTCGTAACACAGGAAGTAGTATAATAGCGTGTGATCCTTCTCTCTGTCTCAAAGTTTAGTTGAAATATTAAGTTTCATGAGTTTATTTTAGTGTAGCAATTTGTTGGCAATTCGGCACACCTTAGGGTGTAAATAAATAGATAAATAATAAAACCCACTAAATATTAAACTTTTTTCAAGCGCCACAAACGCCAGCACCACGCCACAAGCTTTGTGTTTTTGACAGCTTCAACGGATGGTGACATCACTGGTTTGTTCGCATGATTCCATGGCTCGTGCCGTTTTTTTTTCCACGAATTCGTCATGACACACCCTGAACGTATTTCCAAAGAGTTCCTTGTTACTGAGCAGTTTTCAAGTAACTAGATGGGTAGTATAAGTGCATGCGATGTCTTTGTGACCGCTAGCTGTCAAACAGATCAACTTGCAAGCATGTACAGGGCGGCTAAGAAGCGGGCGATTTCTTTACCCCGTTTTTTCTCCATTCGACCCAAGCTGGCAGATTCATCATGAATACTGTTTTATGTTTTTTTTCTGTCATATCTTGAAATTTGTCACTTTTGCACTCTCTTCTTATAGCGCGACGGTTTATCCACTGTGAAAGGACCTCGTGAATTCCGCGGGTTGAGGAGGGGAGCTCGACCGTTCCTTCCATATGACAACTTCACTTCGAACTGACCACAAGACGGTGAGTCTGCAGCAGGCATTCAAATTCCATGCAGAGTTGTAGTGGTTTATTGAATGGATGTGGCCTATACAATGAATTGCGGGGGAGTCAGCGCTCCTGCCTTTCCAGCGAACCTGGTACAAATTTACCTTCCCCGCGGGGAAGTTGCTGGCTTGGCCTGGACGGGAGCCGTTCCACGATTTGATCACCAGACCGTGCGGCCACGCTTGCCGCTACGCCATCTCCGCATCAGAGGCAATTTTGATAGAAATAGATCACGGCCATTTACAATGAATTCGTAATCATATCTCAAATAGACTTTCCAGAAATGGTAACTTGGCCTCGGTAATGTTA